TGATCGTCCACACCGATAGACAGTATTCAGAAAGAGACAGAGAGAGAGAGAGAAGAGGGGAGGAGTTTATCTTGCGAGAACTTCCGGGCGGGTGAGAATAGCCACTTTCATTATGAATTCCTAAGGTTGAGACATAGGCAAAGTCAGTCCGCAGGTCCGGTATTCTTCAATCTTACCCTAGAATCTAGATCTAGATCTAGATCTAGATTCTATATAGATTTTAGATCAAGATAGATTCTACCTCACCTGTGTTCTGAAACCGAGGTGGCTTATATTTTGCTCACCTCACTCTGCAGTCAGATTTTAACTCCGAACAATGTTTAGTTTTTATCATACATGGCTTTGGTGACGTATTGTACAACAAATATAATAGAACACTTATTGTCTCTTTTGTAAACAGTCCAGAACCAACAGCAACACTTCGTGATAAAGCCTCCTACTGCTACACTGAATTGAGAATTGTGTCGGGAAATAATATGAATCCAAGTCAGTAAATCAGTGAGAAGAAAAACTAAGAGATCGCTAAACATTAAAAATTGAGATCGGGAATCATGAACAGTGTTGGGCAGATGCTATTCACGACTTGCAAACTCTTGGTCTCTAGAATAAGGTTTTTGTTGTTAATTTGAATATGTAATGTTTAATCAGAATTTTTTTAAATTCAAGTCACATCAGTTTTACAATGTATATTTGCTATTTGGGTTAGGGCTTAGAGACAGCTTGCGCTCTTTTACTATCCTTTATCCATCCTTTATCTTTTCTTATTTATAATACAAACAGGCAATATGGGGAAGCTGAAACTAAAAAAGGGAGAAGATTTTCAAGCCGAAACAACACATGAACAATTACTAAACATTAATTAATTAGAGCTATCGAGTGTACTCCCATTGTGCTCCAAAAATGATATCCCCATTGATGTTAGCACTTTTCCAGGAGGAAAAGTAATTTTAATTCTCAAAATGTATAGATCTAGATCTAGATCTATTAAAGAGATATCTAGGCTAACGTAAAAATTACGCCCGGATCAGTCTAGATCTATAGAATCAAGCAAACTGGCCCATTTTGCCCTCATTTTTTTATTTGAAACGTTTATTTACAGATGACGTCACTTCCAACAGTAGTAAGCTACATGAACGACGAACTCGTCCAGCAGAAGCAGACTGAACTGTCGCACTGTTTCATCCACACAACCTCGTCTTGCTGACTCCACTTTTTCCATCTTGAACTGAAAAGGTAGCATAGAAATAGGCCTACTTATACCGCATTTATAATTTGATCATAGATCTAATATCTAGATCTAGATTCTAGATCTAGATATCTAGATCTCTAGGTCTTCAGAATTCATCTCTCACTCAAGTGGTGTCGACTCCTTGACTTTCACACACTACACTGACTTAGCCTAGGTAAAAAAAGGCTTAGCCAGTACTTAGCCTAGGTAAAAGGCTTGGCCACCGTGAGAATAGTGCAGGCGGGTCTTGTGGCTATTCTCACCCGGTGCGCGTGTCAACAAAT